CTTGCGCTTCATTAGTCCTCTCTGTCGCTCTATATAGTCGTCGCTCTGTCGTTCTATAATCGTCACTTTGTCGCTCTTATATCGAACTTTCACACAATGTGCAGTGCCGCTGCACATTGTGTGAATAACTGCGGACGTTTTTTGACTCACCCCCACCACACGAGTTGATCCTCCTTAGTTCTAGTCTTCTTGGTTCTCGTATATACATCTGATCTCGTGAGTCTCGCGCATTCTCGCATGCGCCGTTCCGCTGCTTTGATTTAGTGCGTCGTGAAACAATCGCATCATTATTGCATCATGTGAGTAAATTACGGTGAGATTATTTTCTTCATAACAACGCAATTCCTTCAAAATTTCATCGTGAAACATTTCCATGTAAACGAGAATTCAATGTCATGATGACAGCGCGAATACGATACATGTGACGTAGTAACAACGTGCTTCTGTTTTGTCTGTGCAGAACCATCAGGAAACCGGGAAGAAGCGAGAATTAAAAGAACGGGATGTTGATGGCGAAAATCTGTCGGGCTGGAGTTTCGCCAGGTTTGGCGTCACTCGTCCGAACCCCGGTCGTCCCAACGACGTCGCAATTTTCCAAGGGTCAGATCGCGAGATTATTCGTCAACGATGGACGCAGCTCTTACACGAGGACCGCGAGGAACAGAGCCACTGTGGTGGAGCAAGCAGTGGCTCCGGCTGGCGAAACGGGTAAGACGAATATTTTTATTAGATTTTTATGAGGTGATAATTGATTGTCATGTATATGATTATGCCATGTATGATGTACATATAGTATTAGCGAGACTTGAAAGAAATTGTGGAGAATGTATTAGCTCCTTAGAGCTATATTTATATAGTTTTGTTTTGATGTGAGACTGATATCTATTGTTGTTTTGCAGCATTTAATGTTGGGAAAGCAGCAGTCGCTGGAGGAGCACTGATGGGATTAGGTGGTCTTTGTTATTATGGATTAGGTCTTTCTTCACAAACGGGTGCTATAGATCATGCACAGTAAGCACTTGTTTTTCTCTAATGGGCTTTCTACAATAAGTTAGGGCCTTAGCAGAAAAAAAGCTGACTTATTATCTTAAGACAGTGTCTTATGACTTAAAGTCTTGTTAGTAACGCACAAGAACTATCTTAAGATTATATAAATCAGTCTTTCTGCTACAGCCCTTATTACCTAAATTTTAAGTCTTAAATCATAAGATATTAACCCTTACCATACAAGGTCGAGTCATTAGTGACTGAGTGATTCCTGTTCATACGAGTTTCTTTGAGTCTTTCGGTAATTATAAATTATATTACATTTTATTATTTTCCAAAATAAAGTTTCAATATTCTAGAAAGTTGAAAGTATGTTGGTGAATTTTTAGAGATTTTTTGAACCTTTCTACATAGTGTGAAAAAATGGATGAATTCTAGTGATCCATGTTTGGCAGGGTTGACAAAAACCCAGTTTTTTTTTCCAGAAAAACTTAAATTTTTGGGATTTTTATGGGTTTTTGTAATTTGTAGATTTTTGTGGTTTGTGGGTTTTTACCTTCAGATAAACGACCAATAATCGAGAATGCTCAAATAATCATTTAATTATTATAAGAGTAAAAATTCATATATATATGTTTCAAC